GAGACAGAGAGAGAAAGAGAGAGAGAGAGAGAGAGAGAGCGAGAGAGAGACAGAGAGAGAGAGAGAGAGAGACATTGGTTCAGTACTAAACTTGCCATGCTGCCACTAGCCACATCAAACATAAACATGAAAATCATGCAACAAACTTCATAAAATCACATTTTCAAGAGCTCGACATCATTAAGATCTGTAGGATAAATTACATACTTAAGACAACTCTTAACCACTGTAAATTATTGCAACTGTCTTAAGCTCTAATGCACACAACTTCAGCATTGTTTATTTGATACAGTTGCGGCCAGCCAGGATTTTCCTTAATGAGGGGAGCAAAGACTGCCATTCTGGCACAATTTTATCTATTTGGTAAAAGTTTTACAGCATTGCAACCTGACTAGGTCATATAAGTGCCGAAGATCACGGGAGTTAAAAAAGAGTAACAAACACAAAAAAGAAGGAGGAGAGTCAAAGATTTTAAAATAAGAATACAGAGCAAACCACACTAGAGCACCCGCCAACCACCTACAAATATTCCTAGGGTTTAGTTTTGGTCCAGCAAATATTCCAAAAACAAAACATGTCCCTCCATGAAAGAAAATCTTGGCCAGCTTAGACTGTTTCAACGAATCAAAAGTATCAAAAGATATAAACGTATCAATTGGGCAATATGCACATGGTATGTAATCCTTTAGGAGGCTTGTTGCTTCCTCCTTGCCTGTCATAGCCTGCCCAGAGTGAGCAGGATACAACAGACAGATAGACAGTCAGACAGATAGACAGATAGGCAGGCAGACAGATAGAGATTGACAGGCAGACAGATAGACAGGCAGACAGATAGACAGATTGACAGGCAGACAGACAGACAGGCAGACAGATAGACAAGCCTGAACAGGTAGAGCAAGAAAAGAGAACGAGAGAGTAAAGAAAAGTTAAGAAAAAAGACATATTAACAGACAGACAGATAGACAGGCAAACAGATATAGGCGGAAAGTCAGGCATGAACATGTAGAGCAAAAAATGGGAGAGAGTGAAGAAGAAATGGTGAAATGGTATAGGTTTAATGTCCCTTTCTCAACACTATTAGGTTATTTAAGAGGTGGGACCTTCTAGTTAAACATCAATCTCCAAAAGGACAGAGCCAAATGGGGAAATTCGTGTAAAGTGCCTTTCCTAAGGACGTGATGTCAGAGAGAAAGACTGAAAAGAAACTGATCATTTAAATAAACAGATCGCGATCAATACAATAATGTTAAGCGCAGGGAAAAGTATAATTTAAATAGACACCCCCCCCCCCCCCC